ACTATACGCTTCAATTCCTTATTTAAGTCTGTTCGCAGTAAGCGTGTTTTACTGTATAACCCAAATACCACTCTAAGTTTACATACCCAAATCATAAAAAATTCTATATTCTAATTTCAAGAACTAATTTTTTACTAAACAATGTTTTACATGGTAATTAATCTAGTTCATTATCTGTAATGGTAGCCTAGTTGTAGGGTATTCATTTTGTAATCAGGAGGCCTGGGCTTGATTCTCATTTGCTGTGTCAAACCTAAGACATAAACATACAGGTAATGAAGGTTCCTTCACCAAACGCCAAGCATTAGAAGTAAAAGTCAAAGGTTTTTCAGATGAGACCTTAAAAACCTCACAGTAGATGTTGTGACAATAAAGAACCCTCACTGCTCAATGGGCCTTAGTGCCAAGTATTAAGGTCTATGTTTGAAGCCCTTCACTAGTATGTGGTAATGTCTCTATACGAAAGAAAAATTCTCAAGTAAGATGTAAAACAACATACAATCAATCAAAGAGTCAGTAAGAAGCTGATCCTTACGTCGCATGTTCGAATCCCACAGCTGGATGTGGAGATAGGTTCCTCAGATGGAACCGTATGAACCGAGGTTCTGTGTCACAGAAGGTGCTGGCATGAAAAAGATCCCTCACTTCCCAAAGGCCATAAGTGTCAAGTACAGGTCTATATTTGCAGGCCTCCACCAGCAAGTGGTGGCATAATAATATGAATAAAAAAATTTGAAGGGGCAATAAACAAAACACAAATCAATCCTGCAGTCTTATCACAGAAATAATTCAAACTTTTATGTATAAATATATTTCCAAATTTCTTTTGCAATTTAACTGAGTGACATTTTTGAGATTTTCCAATAATAATACACATTTACTAGCTGGGTTCGAAGGCAACATGTGTTTTGTCGGACCCAAGAACCAAACTGTTTGCCTGAGGCCATTAGGCCGAAGGGAAACAGTTTGGTTCAAGGAGTCAGCAAATTGCATTTTACCCCGAGAACACGGTCAATAAATGTTTTGTTATATCTTTTACTTTATTTTTTTGTTTGACATACATGTATTTTGTAGTGGCTTCCGTGATGTAAATTTCCTTTACCAGCACTGAGGTAATACTCTGTCAATTCCGTAACTTTCGAACACCAACAAATGCAAATGAGATTTAACTAATCCTGCGCATACTGTAATATGTAAGCCTGCAGTCCAACGATCTCATCGACAGGTTCAATATCTCACTTTGCGGTTCAACATAGATTTTTTTATGATTGCTCATAAAACCTTGGAAATGTTAGACATTTTGAGTGTACACTGGTATAGATTTATATAAGAACAAATTTTTAAAGGTATAACAAATTATAATATTAATTAAGGCCCTAGTTATAACAGCTATTCATACTTGTTGAAGAATATATAACAATAATTATCATGTTTATACATGTAGTATGTTAGATAGTGTATTGTTGAATTTTTGCATTTTTTTGTTTCAATAAAAAAAAATAAGTCTTGGTGAAATTACATGCTCTCGTGCACTTAAATATAAGGTAAAGCAATGGGGATTTGACAATGTCATGTCAGGGCTAACAGACAGAGACTGAACCATAAAATAGATAACATACATCAGTGTTTGTGCGTACATTTATACATTTGCTGGCATATACATGTAAGCATCAGTGCTGTAAGCAGCTGTTAAATTTTAGATAAGAAAAATTCTAACCTTCATTTCCATGGTGCACGCCAATCATATATTAAAATGTCACCGAGAAATCTTTCATCACTCGTTACATTTATCACAGAAAACTCCGACACAAGACTGTTCATCGCTGTTAATGTGATCGTCAGAATTTCCTCGTAAACAATTTGCGCAAGAATATATATATCCCTTTAAAACTAATGCTCCCTGTACGCAACCAAGGATTTTATGTGCTTCGAAGATGTGGATTAAACCTGCATGTCTACATACGGCTCGTACGTTAAGAAAATGTACAACTGTCAACTTCACATATTTTCTTCTCATTTTCTGTCTGCAATTCCGACTTGCATGGCTACTTCCGGGGACGTACTAAAGACTTGATATACTAAAGACCTGATATTCGACCTGATGATTTTTCAAAAAATAAAATAATCAGATTGAGTGTTAGACATGATTTATTTTTAAAAATTATTGATTATGAAGCATTATGCTATACTAAACTACACTTTTTTTTAAATATTTGCCAACAAAGCATCAGATCAAATCACGTTTTTCGTATATCGGGTCTTTAGTGTCTTCTTCCCACAATGCCGCTCGTGATTGTTTACATCCAGGTTACAAACGAGAGGCCCCGATTAAGACTCTTTCTATACGGATGCATTTGTAAATGTTGATTTACCTTTACTTGTGTAAATAACTTGCATTTATAAACGATTTAAATAACAGAAAACAGAGAAATCGAATCAAAACAATTTATTTAAAACCAACAACTATCTAAAACCGTACAAGCATGTGTTACGTTGCCCTAAAAGGCGTGGCTGGTTTGTAGACAACTTGTTCCTGTACGATTCTCGAATAATTATTATATAAAATAGAATAAGATATAGCACGGAGCTTGTTTCTCTTTATACCACATGACAAGATTTAGTATGTTAGAAATTATGTCATTCAAACTTTTTCATAATATTTTAATATTTTTAGCTATCCAAAAAATACTTTTATGACCTGCTGTCCCCTGAATATAGGGGCCAGCCCCTTTTTCTTGATGTTATCTGAAAGCTCTCGTAATTACACACAACTTTTATTCTATATGTCTTACCAAATTTTTATCAGTTTAAAAGTTATTAAACAAAAAGCAGCAAAATTTCATGGAAAAATAATTCTTAAAACTTGCCGTCACATAGCTTCCGAACTTAAAAAAATTAGCCTACAATTTTAATGTTCTGCGTATCTGCAATGTATTAGTTACAAGTTCTCCAGTTTTCATGCAAGTATCATGTGTCGTTATTGAGAATTCTACTGGACAAGAGACCCTCCAAATATCGATTAAAGGGCAATAACTCATAAACGGGGGTATATATCAAAAATTTGAAAAAACCGTTTTTAGGCAATAATACATTGTATCTACCCTGAAAGTTTCATAGCAATCGGACAAAAGGTCTCCGAGAAATCGCCTGCTGAAAATCGGCGGGAAAAAAAAATAAAATAATAATAAGAAACAGTAGAATAACAGTAGGGTCTTCCGAAGGAAGCTCGGAAGACCCTAATAAGAAACAGTAGAATCACTATAAGGTCTTCCGTGAAGACGGAAGACCTTAATAATAATAAGAAAAGTGAAAAATCAACAATAGAATAATAGAAGGGTCTTCCGCAGAAGACGGAAGACCCTAATAAAAGTGAAAAAGAAACAATAGAATAATAGAAGGGTCTTCCGCTGAAGACGGAAGACCCTAATAAAGGTAAAAAAGAAACCGAAGAATAATAGAAGGGTCTTCCGCTGAAGACGGAAGACCCTAATAATAAAAAGAAAAGTGAAAAATCAACAATAGAATAATAGAAGGGTCTTCCGCAGAAGACGGAAGACCCTAATAATAAAGGTAAAAAAGAAACCGAAGAATAATAGAAGGGTCTTCCGCTGAAGACGGAAGACCCTAATAAGAAACAGTAGAATCACTATAGGTCTTCCGTTGAAAACGGAAGACCTAATAATAATAATAAATGTTCTTACAGATGTTTTTACCAGAATGCTCTGACTGTCTGCAAAGAATTAAGGGATGGAAGGTGCGGACAATCCCCCACTCTGTTAGAGGACATTTTTCAATTCAAAAAGTTCATGAAAACTTATATTTTTCAAATACTATATTGTCAATATAATCTTTTACACATTTGCTTCCTATATTTTGTTGAATAAATTATTGACAAATAATTTATTTTTCACTGATGTTTACTATATGCTACAAAGTCTGCTCGTCTTGCTATGTGTCAGTGTGATTTAAATAAAAGAGTTTGTTGAAGCGTAAAAAATTTTCAGAAATGTTTTATTTTCATATTGAATGGGTTCAGACTCCTTTTTTTTTTTTGAAACATGAAATAGATTTTACATTAACTTTTCCATCAATTAAACGTTAATGTAGAATGGAAACTTGACCCATTCATATTCAAAAATCATTTTTTATGGCTCTAATAAACCCATTTTCTACTAAATATGCTTTACTGTCAACTTAATAACAAATTATCAATCAAAAAATATTCAATAAAATAATTAAATCAAATGTGATGAAGGTGTAATTACTGAAAACAATATTTTAGAAAAATATAACTTAAATTTTCTGTAAACTTTGAAATTAAGAAATACATTGTCCCTAAGTGGGGAATTGTCCTCACCTTGTAGGCCCTCTTTCTTCGAGTTTTAGTTTTCGCTCATAAGCATATTCTACAAATGATTGAAAGAGCAAGGATCACTTTGGGCCTTTTTTCAGACTTGTGAATTATTTAATTCCTGAAAAATCAAAATTGCTCAGTTTTTGATGGCAATATATTAAATATCATATGGACCCTTGGTGACTGCATATCTGTTGAAAATTACGTAACTTTCTCACTAGTCAATGCATTATATAAATTTACATATGCCAATTTTTTTCCTTATATGACAATACAAATTAAATTGACATTCAATTTTCAATGACATGAAATTGCATGGCCACATGATCCAACTTTTGTGCATATGGAAAGCAAACTGCACTAGACATTTGGAAGGTCTAGACTGTGATGTCGAATGACGTCATACATGTTTGTTATGTGGGTTGCCTTTCCATAACAAAGTCTAAATAGTGCATATTTTTCTTGGTAACACATTCAGATAAAATAAAAATACAAGTAATAAAATGTCATTTTAAGAGTTTCATTGGGATATGACATGAACTTGATACGTGATCAAATCTACTATAATTGTAAAACCCTTCAGGCTTTATACATATATACTTACAAAAGTAAGTAAAGTTATGTTGAAATACCTATTTTATTCTAGGTTTCAATCATGCCCAGTTTGAGGGAAGTCACATAAGAGTTGATGTGCAGATTCCAGAGCATTGTGATGAAGGCAAGGAGCAGCACAAAGCACATGAGATCTTTCAGGCCATTTTTACTAAAATGATGCAGACAAAGAAGAGATCATTGCATATCCCTATGAAGAATATTGGAAATTGGCCTGTTAGAAAGTTTGTCAAATGTGTTTTGTTTTCACTTGGAAGACTATCCCAAGAAAATACATTTCAGGTTATATTCTCTGACAAGGATCCAAGGAGGTGCAACAAAATGATCTTTGCTTTGAATGAATCAGTGAATAGGACCACACAAGGAAGTAAGAAGAAAATGCATCATTTCTAAGTTCAAAGAGCCAGGTTCACTTTATGCATAAAATGGTCCTGTCCATGTAACATTTCAATGACTGACATCTTATGTCCCATTTCAAACATCAGTTTCAAGTAGAGACTGGCGTTATATAGTGCTTCCATTTCACATTACACAAAGTATCCTCTTAGAGTCCATGCATCAGAAAGAAGACCGAAATTCCGATTTTCCTGAATTTTGCAGAAAGAGTGTATTTGAGTTCTTTCAGCAGAGAAATAAAATATGAACACAACCTTTGATAAAAAATAAAATAAAACATGTTTTATCTTCTTTAGTAATAGTTCTATCATTATATAATTACATATTTTGGATCAGGGCTTCATATGAAACATTGATAAATAGATTAAAGAGTTAGACAATTTAAAGAAAGGATGACTGCACTTAAGCACATGGAAAATTTGCGATAAAATGAATTTTAAAAGAAGCATTTTTCTTTTAATTGCAGGACTGCTCTAATAATGATGTGTCAAAAGAAGATTGATAAATGAACATGCCTCATAGTTTAAAATATTAAAAAAAAACCTGCTTCTTTTTACATCTGCTCTCCGTGTTGTAACCAAGAGTTGTGATTTGAGAGCTCACCTGATCTGAAAGCTCAAGTGAGCTTTTATGATCACCCATTGTCTGTTGTCCGTCCATCCATCTGTAAACTTTTCAAATTTTCAACTTCTTCACAAGAACCACTGGGCCAATTTTAACCAAAGTTGGTACATAGCTTCCTTGGATAAATGTTAAAATGAAGGGCCAAGCCTCCTTACAAAGGTAGATAATCAAGAAAAGACAAAAATAGGGTGGGGTCATTTAAAAATCTTCTCCTCAAGAACCACTGGACCAGAAAAGATGAAACTTATGTGGAAGAGTTGTGGGGGTAGTGTAGATTCTAAATTGTTCAAATCATGACCTCCAGGGGTAGGGAGTGGCCACAATAGGGAATTAAATTTTTACATTGAAGTATATAAGAAAAATCTTTAAAAATCTTCTCCTCAAGAACCACTGGGCCGGAAAAGCTAAAACTTATGTGGAAGCATCCTGGGGTAGTGTAGATTCTAAATTTTAAAAATCATGACCCCCGGGCGGGCAACAATAGGTATTACAAGGGGGGAAATCTGGTGAAGAACAGCAAGGCCAAAGTTACTCAGGTGAGCATTGTGGCCCATGGGCCTCTTGTTGAATACATATAATAATTTACCAAGTGATTTCTAACCTCGGGTAACTCTTGTGAATCCTAAAGTCTGTCACGTGACTTTTAAGGTAGCATGCTGTACTTACTAGGACATTGTGTTCAAACACTATAAATTGTCTGACATTGATTTAAAATCTTTACTCACATGGAAGTGTTCCTATTGATTATTTCATTTTGAAACCTTAGTAAATAGTGTAGAATAGAGAGGGAGATGAGAAAGAGTGTTATTATTTAAATAATTTTCATTATTATTTATCTAGTCTAATATTAGACCCATTCTTGCAATGTTAGCTCCACCTCTCATGCATACATAATATTCAGTCAAGGGCAGAGATACATGTAACTAAATTCTCTATATTTGGAAGCAGTAAGCACAATAAAACATAGAATTAATTTATTTTTGCAGTCAAAAAACATTTAAACATTTAAATTTGGTTCCAAATTGACAGGATTCCTAAATAAATGTACAAAAGTGAAATAAGGTTAAGATATGAAAGCAACAGAAGTGACTGAAAAAGACCCAAAAACCAGCGTTAAGTACAGTCTTCCTTTTTAGGATGTAGGAAAAATGATGCGATTCATGCCATCATAATGTATCAACTAGCAAAAAAATTGTCAATTTCGATTTAATAGACAATTACAGTCAGTAAGAGCTCATACATTATCAGCTAAAACTAACCAGTTTTTATTTTTTTTTCAAAGAAATTCACAGCCTCCCCCCCCCCCCCCCCCCCCAAGGCCCTAAGTGAACCTTGCTCTTTATTTATACTGTACTTTTTTTGTAGTGTTAATTTTTCTAATATAATGAATACTGAATTTATACTTAGTAGAAAAATTCTAGTTAGAATAGTCTGACTGTGTCTCTGGACAGGACCTACCACAGTTAGCATGCCTCCTATATACCCGCAATGTAGCAGAAAAATGCAGAATTGCTTCAAAACAATTTTTGGAGGAAACAAACGAAGTTACATTGGAAATAACTATCCTATCCAATTAATAATAACAAACCTTTTTGAGACTGGATACCTTTCACCAAAAAATTTAATCAATATAATGGAAGAATTCAACTCTTTTTCTTATGTTTTTTACTCATTTCAAATTTATACACCGTGTTGACATTCTGAACTCTCTGGGTTTTTCATAGTTACTGTAAATGCACTGAGTTAGTGTCATCTCCCATGTTTTCTTTGCTACATTGCCATTACATGAAACGCATCATATTGTTAAATCAGGTCCATTGGATATTCTTCATTTTAACAATAAAACATTCTATCTAGAAAAATTCAAGCTGTAAACTTTTCTGATTACCTTTTGTACGACATCTATCTGTGTAGACATCTGTTTAAAGCTCTCGATATTTTAAAATTTTTTTCTCGGTATTCACTTGCTTACTCCTAGGCACCTGATCCCACCTCTGGAATTTCCAGGGGTCCGTGTTTATGCCCTTCTTCATAGATTTGTATTGTTTTAAGGATTTTTGAGATTGATCTTTGTTCATTATCTTCACCATTTTCATTGGACTATTTCAACCAAACATAGCACAGAGTATCCTTGGGTTATTCTGTATGGGCTTCAGAATTGCTCAAATGAAGGCCCTTTTCTTTTCATTAGCAGAACCCAAAAGATATAATCAGGAAAAGATGAAATTTGGGTGGATTCATTAAAAAATTGTCTTTTTATACAGAAAAAAATGGATCTCTGTTGGAAAACTTCCTGCAAACCATGGCCCAGACTGGAATAAAGTGGGGTCTCAAAAAGGCATTACAGTAAAACTCGGTTAAAGCGAAATATTGGGTACCTGCGAAACTACTTCGCTATATCCGTAATTTGTTGTATCCCCATAACAAATTTGTTAAAACATATATAGTGAACTCGCAGTATGATTTTTTCCCCCTTAAGAATGTCTACCAAGTTTATTTTGGGAAGTATTAATTCAAAAATTTTCAGATAAATTGAATTTCACATTTAAAAAACTTACAAAAATAGTGTCAGTTCAATATTTTAAAAATTGAGATCTTTGAAAATTCGTGATAAAAGAAATTAATTTCGTTATTTTTAACCTCTAGGGAACACAAAATCAGTTTGCTATATCTGTAATTTTGCTATATCCAAGTTTGTTATATCTGTCAAAATTTACAAGGAATTGTTAAGAATATTGCTGGGGATTCCAAAAAACTGCTGCTTTTCTGTAAATTCACTGTAGATTCCTAAATATATGCGTAATTACACAAGGAGCACCACTCGCAAAATAAAATTACTCGCTTTTATTTTTATGGTGTTGAAATTAATGTTAAATCTCATTGTAAACCGTTTTGCGAATTACTGTTCTCGCGATTTGGCATCTAAGAGCCCTTTCGCGATATTAAGTACTTAGTATACGTAAAATAAGGAATTTACTGTATATTGGTGTTCGTACTAAACCAGTTTTACTGTAGGATTTTTACATGTGACTATGTAGGAAAATTAATTAATTTTCTTTTCAAGAACAGCAAGGCCATAATATTCATATTAATATGCAGGCATCCTGAGGTACTGCTGTTTAAAGTTTCAAATATTTGCCAGAAGGATTGAAAGGGGGGGGGGCAACAATAGTGAATCAGAGTTTTACATGGGAATATGGGGAAAAATCTTTTAAATCAATCTTCTTGAGAACAACAGGGCCATGCATTGTTAGTCATATTATTATGCAAGCATGATCCTTAAGTTGTACAGATTTTTGATTGTTCATATCAAGTTTCAATTGGGATACAATTCAGTTGTCTATTGTAGGAAATGAAAAGGAACAGGGCCTCACACTCAAATAAATTAAATTTAATATGCAAACATTCCCAAGTTGTATGGGTTCAAGTTTTTTTTATTTCAAATTGTGGTCCCTCAGAATTTATAGGGTTATGCTATTTAACTGGGGATCAAATTTGCATATTAATGCATCTATGCTGAAATAACATTAAAAAAGCTTTAAAAGTTAGTTCAACAACAGCAAGGCCATGTCAGTCATATTGATATTAAGATACCCACAATTATGTAGATTCAAGTTTTGTTTGGTTTCACCTTATCATGACTTCTTGGAGATATAGGGCTGGGCCAAAATATGGGTTCAATGTTTTTTAATTAGATTGAAAAATAAAAAAAATCTTGTAGAAATCTGCTGAGAGAAAAAGTAGGTGAGCCAGTTTGACTGAAGGGTACGTGTGTTATTGCTCATGGGCTTTTTATTATTTTTCAGATAAATTGGTGGAGTTGAATGTTGTTAAAGGGGAAATTGCAAAGGCAGATGTAAGTACAGTAACACACAGTGACCAATTATAGGTGAAAAATTATATCTTAATTTAATCAGATTTGAATGTTAAATCAAAAGCAAGAATTTTTAGCTAAAGCAAGAATATCTAATTCTAAGCAAAAGCAAAAAGTTTGACTGTATTCCAAAATTATGAACTAAATGAAACATGATAGCACAGATTTAAGAATTCATTTACTCCTGCAACCTAAGATTAATTTCAATCTCACATATGATATCTGTATTTTGAATGATTAGTGGGTATATATACAACAATGAAGAAATTCTGACATAAATGCCAAATAGCTATCTCACAAATATATGTCATCAAAATTGGTGATCTACAGTAATTGTGAAGTGAATGTGTAGCAAAAATCATATTTCTTATGTTTTCCTTTGATATCAGGCTGATGTGATTGTCAATACAACCTCCAAAGACTTTAATTTATCACTGGGAGCAGTGTCAAGCTCTATTATGAAAGAAGCAAGAGGAAACATACAGTTAAATTTAAAAGGCAAAACAGCAAATTATGGTGAGATATTGGTTACAGATTCATACCATCTTAAGTGTAAGAAAGTCTTCCATGGAGCCTTGAAGTCATGGACAACAGATCCCAAGGAAGAAAAAGAATGCTTAAAGGTAAAAATTAAATGGAAGATTATTACTATTAATTATGTTTTGCAAAATGTTCTTAATAGGTAGATCCATTAATTTCTCTAAAAGAAAAAGAAAATTTGCATTGCTATCTTGCAAGGGTTAATTTGTCTCCATTGATATATATACTGTAAATTGAGAGTCATAGTGCACAACTTCAAGGATGAAAGAAGATGTATACATGTCCCAGATATTTATCTCTAGGTAAAGACTAGCATAAATGTAGTATTTCTTCAAGAAAAATTATAAATTAAGTTTAAAAAAAAACTGCATAAACCATTGCAGTCATAAGTTTCTCTGCAAGAAAAATGTAGTCTTCTGAACATGAACTCTTAATTTTTTTTCTTTTTTTAGCTCACCTGAGCCAAAGGCTAAAGTGAGCTTTTCTGATCACATTTTGTCCAGCGCAAGTCTGTCCGTCTGTCTGTGTAGCTGTCTGTCCATCTGTCTGTAAACTTTTCACATTTTAGACTTCTTCTCAAGAACCACTTTGCCAATTTCAACCAAACTTGCCTCAAGGTATCCTTGAGTAAAGGGGATTCAAATTTGTTCATATGAAGGGTCATGCCCTCTTCCAAGGGGAGATAATTACAAATTAGTGAAAAATTAATAGCATCTTTTAAAAATCTTCTTCTCAAGAACCACTGGGCCAGGAAAAATGAATCTCATGTGGAATCATCCTCAGGTAATCCTCAGGTAATGAAGATTCAAGTTTGTTAAAATCATAAATCATAAATCGGGGTAGGGTGGGGCCACAATGGACAATCAAAGTTTTACATAGGAATATATAGGAAAAAATCTTCAAAAATCTTCTTCTCAAGAAAAGCAAAGCCATGATTGGTCATATTGATATGGAAGCATCCTCAGGTAGTGTAGATTCAAGTTTGTTCAAATGATGACCCCCGGGGGTAGGGTGGGGTCACAGTGGGGAATCAAAGTTTTACATAGGAATATATAGGAAAAAATCTTTAAAAATCTTCTTCTCAAGAACAGCAAAGCCTTGTTAAGTCATATTGATGTGGAATCATTCTCAGATAGTGTAGGTTCAACTTTGTTCGAATCATGACCCCACAGGGTTAGGGTGGGGCCACAATAGGGGATTAAAGTTTTACATTGGAATATATAGGAAAAAATCTTTTCAAGAACAGAAAAGCCATGTTTAGTCATATTGGAAGCATCCTCAGGTAGAGTAGATTCAAGTTTGTTCAAATGATGACCCCCCGGAGGGGGGGGGGGTAGGGAGGGGCCACAATGGGGGATCAAATTTTGAACAAGGGAATATATAGGAAAAAAATCTTTAAAAAACTTCTGCTCAAGAACTGCAAAGCTCTTTGTTATATTGATATGGAAGCATCCTCAGGTAGTTTAAAATTCAAGCCCCTCCCCCCCCTTTTAAACTTTTCAATACTGAAGTGATTTGTTCTTTTTCCTAGCCAATATGTTCAGGTGAGTGATGTGGCCCATGGGCCACTTGTTTAGTATTATATTTTGCTTTATTATCCGTGCACCCTGAAAAAAAAACATGTATTAATTCTCAGGTTCTTAGACAATTTGTCACGAATTGTCTAGGCAAAGCCAGCGAGCTAGGATACTCGTCAATTGCATTTCCTGCCATTGGAACTGGACGGATTGGAATTCCCTCAGAGGAAGTGGTGAAACATGTCAGCGATGCAATACACACATTTATGGATGAAAACTCGCATAGCAGTTTGAAGAAAATTACCTTCATAATATATTACAAAGATCAAGAAACATTTAAGGTAGATTAAATGTTGAAATTTTTCTGACATTACTGGCAGTCATAGCACACTATATTTTTGAATTTATATTTTTCATCTTAATGATATTTGGTAATAATTTAAGGTCAGTATTTTTTAGCTCACCTGAGCCAAAGGCTCAAGTGAGTTTTTTGTTTTGATCGAAATTTGTCCATTATCTGTCATTGTCGTAGTGGGTGTTAACTTTTCACAAGGTATCCTTAGGTGAAGTGGATTCAAGTTAAACATCCTATTTTGAGAGGAGATAAATCAGAATCAGTGAAAATTTAATGTAATCTTTCAAAAAAATCATCTTCTAAAGAACCACTAGGCCAGAAAAGATAAAAGCAACAAAGTGTAGATTCAAGTTTGTTCAAATCATGACCTCCAGAGGTAGGGTGGGGCCACAATAGGGAATCAAAGTTTTACTTAGGAATACATAGGGGTAATCATTAAAATTCTTCTCAATAACAGCAAGTCACCATCAGGATAATTCATATCCACATGTAGAGTAGATTCCAATTTGTCCAAATCATGATCAAAAGGATTAGGGTGGGGCCACTATGAGCAGTGAAAGTTTTACATGTGTATAAATAGGAAAAAACTTTAAATATCTACTTCTCAAGAACAGCAGAGCCATGGACAGTCATATTTAAATGGAAGCACTCATAGGTAATGTAGATTCAAATTTGTTCAACTTTTGCCCCCTTGGGGGGTATGGTATGGCCACTATGGGTAGTTAAAGTTATACATGGGTATAAATAGGAACCATAAATCTCAGATGAGACTGTAGCTCTACTGGTCTGTACATATAACAAAGAAAAAGTAACACTTGGATTTGAAACTTTGCAACAATAAATAGAATTACGTTTCTTAATTAGTCTGCTTGTGTGCCAAGTTATATTGAAATCAAACAAAACTGTAGGAGGAGTAGTATTTTAAAGGAATTTCACAGAAATTTCTATTTTTTGTAAACATGGCAACACTGTTCATGGAAATCAAAAACCGATGCATTGAATTATGTATCTTAGTGTAGTCTACTTGCGTGCCAAGTTATTTTGAAATCTGACCAAAACTGTAGTTGGAGTAACGTTTTAAAGGAATTTTACAGAAATATCTATTTTTAGTAACCAAGACAACACCATTCATCAAAATCAAAAACTGATGCACTAAATTATGTATCTTAATGTAGTCTACTTGTATGCCAAATCATTGAAATCAGACCAAAACTGTGGGAGGAGTAGATTTTAAAAGAATTTCACAGAAATTTCTATTTTTAGTAACCATGGCAACACTGTTCATGGAAATCAAAAACCGATGTTTTGAATTATTTATCTTAGTGTAGTCTACTTGTCTGCCAAGTTATATTGAAATCGGACTAAAACTGTGGGAGGAGTAGTGTTTTAAAGGAATTTCACAGAAATTTCTATTTTTAATAACCATGGCAACTCCGTTCATGGAAATCAAAACCTATGCACTGAATTATGTATCTTAGTATAGCTTACTTGTGTGCCAAGTTATATTGAAATTAGACCAAAACTGTAGGAGGAGAAGCGTTTTAAAGGAATTTCTCAGATATTTCTATTTTTTGTAACCATGGAACACAGCTCATCGAACTCAAAAACCAATGCACCAAATTATGTATCTTAGTGTAATAAAGTTGTATTGAAATCAGACCAAAACTGTAGGAGGAGTAGTGTTTTGAAAAATTGTTTACAGAGAGATGGACAGCTAGACAGACGGACGGATGACGGACACCTTACTATTGCATAAGCTCTTCTGGTCTCTGACCAGTAGAGCTAAAAATCTTTTAAATTCTTTTTTTCAAGAACAGCAAAGTCATGATTTGTCATATTTATACGGAATCATTCTAGTGTCTAAATCATGATCCCCAGGGTAGGGTGGGGCCACTATGTTTGATCAAAATTTTACATAGGAATTAATACATATGAAAAATCTTTTAAATTTTTTGGGTTTTTTTTAAGAAAAAGCAATGTCATGATTAATCCTATTGATATGGAAGCATCCTCAGGTTTTGATCAAATCATGACCCTGGAGGGTAGGCCGGAGGGTAGGATGGGGTCACAATGGGCAATCAAAGTTTTTCATAGGAATACATGGAGAAAATCTTTAAAATTCTTTTTCTCAAGAACAGTAAAGCCATGATTAGTTATATTTATACTGAAGCATCTAGATTCTAATTATCATCTATTTATCATCTAATTTTCACCCTCTTACCATGCTTTTTAGCTCACCTGAGCCAAAGGCTCAAGTGAGATTTTCTGATCACATTTTGTCTGTAGTCCGTCTGTCCGTCCGTCCGTCTGTCTGTAAACTTTTCACATTTTCGACTTCTTCTCAAGAACCACTGAGCCAATTTCAACCAAACATGCCACAAAGTATCCTTAGGTGAAGGGGATTCAAGTTTGTTCAAATGAAGGGCCACGCCCTCTTTCAAGGGGAGATAATAAAGAATTAGTGAAAAATTAATAGCATCTTTTAAAAATCTTCTTCTGAAAAACCACAAAGCCAGGGAAGATGAAACTCATGTGGAATCATCCTCAGGTAGTGTAGATTCAAGTTTGTTCAAATCATGACCCCCGGAAGTAGGGCGGGGCCACAGTGGAGGATCAAAGTTTTACATAGAAATATATTGGAAAAACCTTTAAAAATCTTCTTCTCAAGAAAAGCAAAGCCATGATGAGTCATATTTATATGGAAGCATCCTCAGGTAGTGTAGATTCAAGTTTGTTCAAACCATGACCCCCGGGGATAGGGTGGGGCCACAATGGAGGATAAAAGTCTGAAATAGAAATATATCGGAAGATATCTTCTGATGAAGAACTGCAAAGCCATGATTAGTCATTTTGATATGGAAGCATCCTCAGGTAGTGTAGATTCAAGTTTGTTCAAATGATGACCCCAGGGGACAGGGATGGGCCATAATGGGGGATTGAAAATTTTACATAGGAACGTATAGGAAAATATCTTCTTCTCAAGAACTGAAAATCATGTTTAGTCATTTTGATATGGAAGCATCCTCAGGTAGTGTAAATTCTATTTTGTTCAAATGATGGCCCCCGAGGGTAGGATGGGGCCCAGTAAGGGGATCGAAAGATTTACATAGGAACATATAGAAAGAAATTTCTTCTCACGAACAGAAAAGCTATGTTTAGTCATATTGATATGGAAGCATCCTCAGGTAGTATAGATTCAAGTTTGTTCAAATGATGACCCCTGGGATAGGGAGGAGCCATAATGGGGGATCAAATTTTTACAAAGGAATATATGGGAATTTTTTTAAAAAATCTTCTCAAGTACAACAAGGCCATTTGTTAAAACAAATTATATATTGACATGGAAGGATCATCAGGTAGTTTAAAATTCAAATATCCCCCCCCCCCTCGTAATCTTTTCAATACTGAACTGATTTGTGCTTTTGCCTTGCCAATGTGCTCAGGTGAGCAATGTGGCCCATGGGCCTCTTGTTATTCATATTTTACTGGTAATTGGCTTGATTTAAACAACAATGATCATATTTTGAATAAATAAAATGATTATTTTAAGTTTCAATATTTATTTGTTCTCATTTCATGATAACGTGAAACTTGAATAGCAATTGTCAATTTGGTTATCTCTGGGCTTGACCGGTTCTTCACAAGATTGCTCGTAATCGGTATTCAATTCTTCAGATAGGATTTCTTGTGCAATGTTTGCCAAACTGGAATTGTGTAGAATATACGGTATTTGGCTGAATATAATACGCATTGGAGTAAGATACGCACCCCCTTTTTTGGCTTGAAAATTTGGGGGGAAATAACGCAGTTCGGTTGTATTATGCACTGTCAAAAAACTGACCAAGCAGTAATGTTGTATTTTTTACATCGCGGTAATTTTAACTTAAAATCTTTGTGGAAATAATGTATTGAAAATTTAAGCACGGTAACTTTTCATACGTGGACTTTGTTTTTTGAGCTTACAGTACTCCTGATTTTAAGCATGGTGGTATTATTCATAGAAATAATTAAATTATGCATTATAAATCATTTTAAAGCTAATGGCAATGTCTTTAAAAATCGCAGTGTAATTGTATTAATTTTAACAAAACACAAAATGTGCATTATTTCTTTGAAAATCTTCTATTCTGCTCCTGGGTATATTTAATAAAGTAACTAAGTACATAGTTATGAAGAACAAGAGTGTCTCTTCCAAAATTTTAATTTCATGGCCCCGGGTCAGGGTTTCTGGTGATAGGGTGGGGCTCTATTGATTATATAGTGAAAATGCATTAATTCTTTGAAAATCTTCTTCTCTGCTTCTGGGTATTAAATAAAGTAACTAAGTACATAGTTATGATGAGCAAGAGTGCCTCTTCCAAAATTATGAAATTCATGGCCCCAGGGTCAGGGGTTCTGGTGTTAGGGCGGGGCTATATTGATTATATAGTGAAAATGCATTAATTCTTTGAAAATCTTCTTCTCTGCTCCTGGGTATTAAATAAAGTAACTAAGTACATAGTTATGATGAGCAAGAGTGCCTCTTCCAAAATTGTGAATTTCATGGCCCTAGGGTCTGGGGTTCTGGTGTTAGGGCGGGGCTCTATTGACTATATACTAGTAAAAAAAAAATTAATTCTTTGAAAATCTTCTCTGCTCCTGGATATTAAATAAACTAACTAAGTACATAGTGACGATGAGTTATGATGAGCATGGTTGCCTCTTCCAAAATTATGAATTTCATGGCCCCTGGGTCAAAGGTTCTGGTGTTAGGGCAGGGCTCTATTGATTATGTAGGGAAAATGCATAAATTCTTTCAAAATCTTCTTCTCTTCTCCTGGGTATTATTCAAATAAAGGAAGTGCATGGTAATGATTAGGAAGAATGCCTCTTCCAAATTGTTAAATTCATGGCCCCTGGGTCATGGGTTAGGTGAAAGGGGGGGGGGGACTCTATTGATTATATATTGAAAATGCATAATTTCTTTCAAAATATTTTTTTCTACTACTGGTTATAAAGCAAAGAAACAAGTGTATACTGTAAATCACTTTTTTTTTCGCGAGAACTTTATTTTAGCATAATTATGCGAGACAATGAGCTCGCGAAAATTTCATTCTCACATTTAATAGTATTCCTTAAAATTATATAGAAGAATAACAACAATTTGCAATAATTATGTCTCGCTTATAAAGAGTCAATGACTATCTCGTGAAAATAAGGTGTCGCGAAAATTTAGTGGTCTACAGTAGTTATGATAAGCAAGGGTGCTTCTTCCAGAATTATGAGTTCATGGCCCCTGGGTCAGATGTTCTGGTGTAAGGATGGTGCTTTATTTATTTAATGATATAGTGAAAATGCATTTCTTTGAAAATCTTCTATGCTTCTGGACAAACAGAGTAGAAGTTTTAATATGCAAAGGTATTTTTACCAGAAATTTGAAGACCTGGACCATTTAGTCAAGTGTTCTGGTCCTGGCCAGTGCTCTATTAACTTGTATTCTGCTGAGCAAAGTTATTCCCCTTTGCTGTTCACCTTTGATAATTAATCACTGTAAACAATGTATTTGAAAGGTTAATAGAATACGAGAATTATGCAAGAATATTTATTGTATAATATAAAAATTACTTCACAGTTTTAATGATCAGGTACATGTAGACTTGGAAATAATAAATGAATAAAATTGAGACAAAAATAACTTATCTTTTTAAATGTTCTTCAAAGGCCAAGACCGTTCACGGTAGCTCAGTCGGTAGAGCGCTCCCTCCATGATCGGGAGGTCGTGAGTTCGAATCTCGGCCGCGACAGACCTAAGTCGATAAAAAATAGGTAGCAACTGTTCCTTCGCCATGGGCTCGGCACTTTGAAGTGAAAGTTGCAGGTCTTTCGGATGAGACCTTAAAAACCGAGGCCCCGTGTCACGGTAGGCGTTGGCACGATAAAGATCCCTCACTGCTCAATGGCCCTGAGTGCCGAGTAAAGGTCAAAATTTGAAGCCCTTCACCGGTATATGGTGACGTCTCTATATGAGTGAAAAATTCTCGAATGGGACATAAAACAATATACAATCAATCAATCAATCAATCAAAGGCCAAGAGAGGCCAATGTGAGAAGTTATAATATGGGGTTCAAAAATAGACATTTTGTTAATTAGTCTGCATGGTAATAGTGATAAATGGGGGACAGATAGATACTAGACCAATTATTTTGTTGATGCTAATCATACTATATTTCTTGCTTTTGGGCAACAAAGCTTCATTTATCAGTGATTCTCTAAATTGTTGTATTGTACTCAGGTGACCATTAAGGCCCTTGGGCCTCTTGTATTTTATATTTGGCTATGGGCAGTCGTGACATTACACGTTGTCTTTATTCTTGCAGAAATAATTATATTTCAACAAAGCACAAAAGACTGTTGAATTTTAGTTTGAACAGATCGACACGGTATAAATCATGTCTTTAGGTAATCTTCGCAGATATCTTATTTTCTACAGAGCTCGAGTAATTATAACACTTAAGTTTTAACAGACTTCATATTTCCTTTTTAAACAAGCTCTTAATTAATTTAACAAGAGACCGATAAATATAAGATAATTAAAGTAATTACATTTAACAAGCGTTTAACTGTTTAATGTGTTGTAATCAACACAAGTTCATATGAAAGATAATGTATGAAGTCTGAAAGTCGACCCCTGAATTTTAACAAAGAAAACAATCAAAGCCATTTATAAGGGCAGTAAATAATCAGTGCTCTAACTGTAAAAACATTGCTTAGGAGTTAGGAGTTGGTAGACAATTTATTTGCCTGGAGGGGTGTTGAGATCAAGTGACAAGCGCATGTGTTCACAACATTGCTTCGTTTGAGACATATACATGTAGTATTAATGTAGTATACATTGGTATCAGGATATAGTGAGGTGTTTATGTTGAAATGAATTTTCACTGTGTTATTTAAAACCCCAAATAAATGTTGATTTATTGTATTTCATTATAAAATTGTAAAATTTTTAGCTCACCTCGACGAAGTCGAGATGAGCTTATGCTATACCCTCGGCGTCGGTGTCGGCGTTAGCGTCGGCGTCCCAGGTTAAAGTTTTAGGAGCAAGTCCCATTCCCAAGTAACTATAAGCCCTACATGGACCAAACTTGCATGGATGATGCATCTAGGGATGGACACTACCAAACTTGCTTCGGATACTGGATCTGACCTAGATTTTCCAGATGAGTGACCAGGTTAAAGTTTTAGGAGCAGGTCCATTCCTAAGTAACTATAAGCCCTACCTGGATCAAACTTGCATGGATGATGCATCTAGGGATGGACACTACCACACTTGCTTCAGATGCTGGATCTGACCTAGATTTTCCGGATGAGTGACCAGTTTAAAGTTTTAGGAGCAGGTTCATTCCCAAGTAACTATAAGCCCTACCTGGACCAAACTTGCATGGATGATGCATCTAGGGATGGACACTACCACACTTGCTTCGGATGCTGGATCTGACCTAGATTTTCCAGATGAGTGACCAGGTTAAAGTTTTAGGAGCAGGTCCATTCCCAAGTAACTATAAGCCCTACCTGGACCAAACCTGCATGGATGATGCATCTAGGGATGGACACTACCACACTGGCTTCGGATGCTGGATCTGATCTAGATTTTCCAGATGAGTGACCAGGTTAAAGTTTTAGGAGCAGGTCCATTCCCAAGTAACTATAAGCCCTACCTGGACCAAACTTGCATGGATGATGCATCTAGGGATGGACACTACCACACTTGCTTCGGATCTGACCTAGATTTTCCGGATGAGTGAATTTTAGCCATATTTTAACCAAATTAGCATGGATGATGTATCTAGGGATGGACACTTCCAGACTTGCCTTGGATTCTGAATCTGATGTACATTTTCCAGATGAGTGACCAGGGTAATTTTTTGGAGTAGCTATATAATATTATGGCCTGTTATGATTAAACTTGCATAGATGGTGCATCTAAGGATGAAAACTTCCAGACTTGCTTTGGATGTTGGAACTGACCAAAATTTTCTTAATTACTAAACAGGTCAAAAGTTTTTTGAGCAGGTCTATAATTAAATCAAACTTGCATGGATATTGATCTTGGGATGTACCCTAACTAGAAAAAAAATATGATGTGAAATTTGCCTTACATGTAAATAACATTCGTCGAGGTGAGCTTCGTAATCTTTGATTACCTATGTTTTTTTCCAACCGAGTGTCTGATTAGGTACATGTGTACTATGATTACGCAAGCACGTGGCAAAGGAATGTGTGAACTATAAATAACATCGTCAATGGCGGCCTACATGGAGACGATGAATATGCAGCTCGAGTTAATTATAACTTGTTTCTAATATCATTTAACGACAGATTATCATTATCAACAGATTATAAATATAACATTTTCAACAAGCCTACGTTCCAACAATAATTTTCCTAAGTTTTAAATACAGCGATAAAATTTTCAAATTTAATAAATGACCAAAAACAATGAAATGTGTGTAATGGGACCCAGGCCTTTGTTCGAGAGATAGAGAACTTCGAGAAATCGGGAGTTCGAGAGATCAGGAGTAAATTTGCTTAGTTATATAGAGAAGGAAAAAACGGGACTGGAGGTTCACTTCAAGATATCGAGACCTTAGAGAGATTGGAGTTCGAGCCATTGAGAGTCACTTGTATTTGTCTAACAAATTACAAACAAAAGGAATTGAAATTAGAATTGAAACAATCCTACATTTAAGAGGAGTGTTGTATTATTACTTATACAAGACTCAAACTAAGATCTCCCTTCAATGATTACAGAAGAGGCCCAATCCTGTAGATTGAAAAATATCTTGCAGTGTTTTCTTGGTATTGGTAATTTTTATTAAAAACAATATTTTTAAAAGGAAAACTGAGTTTAAATATATTAATGTTTTTTTTTATTTACTTTATAGACATTTGAAAAGCTTAAAGGAACAATGAATACAGGTAGGACTCAGTACATATTTTAAATAGAAATCGTAAGAAATATTTTTTTTTTAAATGGCAGCATTTTAATGTTAAAGCTTCTGACCTAATGTTGTCATTTTAATATAGGTACTACTGACAAAAGAGACCAGGAGGAAGTCAAAAATCTTGTTTTATGGGGTGAAGCTGAAATGATTGAGAAAGCAGCTGAGGATTTAGAAAAGGCTTTCATGGAGGAAGTGAAAAAAAGATGTTCTGTGATGGTAGGTTATTTGAATCAATAGCTCATCTTTATATAATTATGTACGACTCCAAAGTGTGATGGGATCCAAAGTCCAACGGTCTACACCAAACCCTGATTGTTTGACATGCCAAAGTCTGATGGTGTGGAAAATAATTAATTAATGACATCATATTACAGTAAAACTTGTTGAATCCAGATGTAGTGCATTCCGGCATGTTGTTCAGTCCGGCGTAATATTTTAGTCCCTTGTATTTTCTTTATAATTTATGTTTAATAAATGTTGTGCAATCCGGATCTTGCCTATTCTGTAAACCGGCCGCTATTTAAAGAACTAACTGCTCAAAATTAGTACAAATTATCTCCTCTAATCCAGCCACTAATTTTTACCTGTGCCCGCTGGTCATTAGAGAAGTCTCGCGTGGGGTAATTATTCAATAATTTATTGTCCCATTAATGATGTATCCTGTATCGACAGTTTAGATTTTAACAAACGTGATAAAAAACATCACTAATGGCTCAAGAAAGGTGAGGAAACTTGCAAAAAAACGAGTGATAGTGATGGTTGCCTGTAGCATGTCTGTAGAAAAACTTGGAGACTTATTCATGACCTCCTTTCTACTTTCTAAGCGTGCAAACATGCATTACTTCCCTTTGTGTCGCTAGTTTACAACGACCATAACAACAGAAGATTTTGGTCCCATTTGAAATTAAAAAATACAGTGTCTAAATATTCAAACATATTAATTTTAAAAGAAAGAAATTAAGTAGGAATCTGTCCCTAACAAAATAATATTTACAGCTACGATGAGGTTTTGGAGTGTGTTTAAAACATTTAAAGATTTTCAAATTTAATAAATGACCAAGAGATATTATATTTCATTACTGAATAAAAAACTTAAACAGAAATGAAAATTCTGAACAACAAAGAGTTCAAAACAAACGAAATAGATGACTTTTGCATGTGAAGCATAAAAAATGACACATTTGATCAAGTATTTATTTACCACTCTTTGTTTATATCTATATAATTTTTAACTTGCTATAACGGTTTAATTTTTTCCAATCGAGATGTTGTCTAATCCGGTCAAAAACACTGGTCGCCAGATTAGACAAGTTTTACTGTACTACTGCACAAAATTGTGATGCTGCTCCATGCCAAACCTGATGGTTTTAAATAAATACAAATAAATGTAATAAATGCAAGGACTAACCCTAATCTCTCAGATAGGTGAGAGACTAACTCTATTTGGTCGAAAAGTGTGTAACAACTACAGTGTACAACCTAGATATCTTGAATGGATGCTAGACTAACCCTAATCAGTCATAGTGTGCGAGGACTAACCCTGGATCTCTAGGGTGGGTTCAAAGTTATCCAATAATTAGTCTAATAGTGTGCAAGAACTAATCTCTATCAGTCAAGTGGTGTGCAAGGACTAACCTTAAAATCTATGGTTGGTGCAAGCAATAAGCAAATTCAATAAAAATTGTTTTTGAATGCAAGACATCAGCATCTAGAATTGACATTGGACTATTGTGATGTCATAAATGATTGTTTCTCACCATCAGACTTTGGTTATTTGTCCATCACTCTTTAGCAGGGTTGGTTGGCCGGGAAATACCAGTGGTGAGGATTACCAGTGGTAAATACCGGTATTTCCTGTCCCGGTAAATACTACAAATTTTCTCTAAACTTGGAAATATTGGGAAATACTGGGAAATACAAAGTTGAAGTTTTTTTATTTCTTTTATTGATATACAAAACTCTTATACAAAATTCTGAAATAAAATAAACATAAAAACAGAAGAATAATAATATTGAATATGTCTCAAACTGCAATTTAACATATTCAGAATGTATCACTACTCAAGGTCCCCTACCCATAAGCATTCTAAAGCTGTACACATTTCCTTGGCTGAATATATTAAAAACAAAACTGAAGTTTTCCGATTGAAGTTTCTTTTCAGTTTTGTAAAATTATTAAGTTTATTAATTAAAATATAAATCCAAGAACAAAACAAACTTGTTTTAATCCTTCTATAAACACTGTAGTTATAACAATTAATCATGTTGTTTTATCAAATTGCTAGGGCTGAAACGATTCACCAAAATATCGATATTGTTCAATATTACTGCTCGGTTCAATATTCGATTCACTATCTCGATTTTCGGTTCGGTACTTTTTTTTTATAATCAGTTTGGTTACTCCTTGAAATAGATCAAGTTCGATCTCATTTTAATAGTGTGACACACACAAGGGAGAAAATTGCAATGGAGAAAGTTTCAGAGCAGACTGTCACTGCTAGTATTGACACGAACAAAGTGCTCTTTTAATCTACAGAAGCAGAAGTAGTGTTCTTAATTGTATCACCGCCTTTTACTTGCCTTTTGAAATCTGAATTCATGTTTTCTTTAACCTTATGATTTGTTTCTGTTTTAGAAAGTAATTGTATTGAAAAAATTGAATTGTGACACAAGTATTGCGATACATACCGTAGCGTGGAGGGGGCGTATCGTTTCAGCCCTACAAATTGCTCTGGACAGTTTTGTGCTCCTGTTTTGAGATATAATTACCTTGAGTAGAACGGAGAGGCCTCTTTTTAGGGTTGATATTTACTCCATATTCTACATTTAACAATTTTCTTAGATACTTCTTTAGTTACATAAAAAACCCAACTTGGATCTTTGGGTTCATTTCATGGACCTTCGTAGACTACATCTGACTCAAGCATGAAACAAATGACCTCATGCCTGGTATATGAATATACTGTGTTTTAAGATTACTTGGAAACCAGAAATGTTTAAATTAGGGACAGTGATACCAGGTAGATATCTTAAATTAGTCAATAAGGTGTACTACATGTTTATATTCCCACAAATATATTATTAACTAAAATTATGAAATATGTTGCTATTTCTTATTTCCCAGTATTTCCCACTGTCCTTGGAAATATGAGTATTTCCCAGTTTTTTGCCAACCCTGTACTTTAGCGCATTGCGTCTCATTGGAAATGAGCCATTGGACTTTGGCATGACCATCAGACTTTCGCATCTATACCAACATCAAACCATTAGACTTTGACGAGACCATCGGATCGGAATTTGTCTTGACCATTGGACTTTAGAGTCTTACATATATATTGAATTTTAAATCTCCTTCAGAACAGTCTTCACCAATTTATCCAAATTCTCCTAAAAGCATTTAGTTTTATTAAATTGAAGGACCATGTCATTTTTGGAAGTGAGATACAAACAAGAGGCCCAGGGGCCACATCGCTCACCTGAACACTATGGCTAGGAAAAAGCAGAAATCAGTTCAGTCTTGAAAAGTTTTGATACAAAGATGATTCGATGGGGGGGGGTCATTGATTTGAACTAATTTTGAATCTATACTTCATAGGGATGCTTTTGAATTAATATGACAAATAATGGCTTTGCTGTTCTTAAGAAGACAATTTTTATTGATGTATCATTTGTATTCCTTTGTATAACTATGATCCCTGTTATGGCTCCTCTATTCTCCTAGGGGATCATGATTTGAACAAAATTTGAATCTACATTACCCGAGGATGCTTCCATTTAAATATGACTAATTGTGGCTTTGCTGTTCTTGAGAAGATTTTAAAGATTTTTTCTTATGTAATCCATAGGTAAAAGCTTTGATAGCTCATTGTGGCCCAACCCTACCCCAGGGGGTCATGATTTGAACAAACTTGAATCTACACTACCTGAGGATGCTTCCATATAATTAATTTCCATGATTGGAACAAACTTGAACCTCACTACTCGAGGATGCTTCCATAGAAAAGTTTGCTGGTTGGAATACCAAATTGGATGAAATAAGACATCAGTGACATCAATCTTTTTAGCTCACCTGATCTGAAAGCTCAAGTGAGCTTTTCTGATCACATTTTGTCTGTAGTCCGTCTGTCCATCCGTCCGTCTGTCTGTAAACTTTTCATATTTTCGACTTCTTCTCCAGAACCACTGGGCCAATTTCAACCAAACGTGCCACGAAGCATCCTTGGGTAAAGGGGATTCAAGTTTTTTTCAAATGAAGGGCCAGGCCCTCTTTCAAGAGGAGATAATAAAGAATTAGTGAAAAATTAATAACATCTTTTAAAAATCTTCTTCTCAAGAACCACAGGGCCAGAAAAGATGAAACTCATGTGGAAGCATCCTCAGGTAGTGTAGATTCAAGTTTGTTCAAATTGTGACCCAGGGGTACATGTAGGGCGGGGCCACAATGGAGAATCAAAGTTTTACATAGAAATATATAGGAAAAACCTTTAAATCTTCTTCTCAAGAACATGATGAGTCATATTGATATGGAAGCATCCTCAGGTAGTGTAGATTGAAGTTTGTTCAAATGATGACCCCTTAGATAGGGAGATGCCACAATGGGGGATCAAATTTTTACAAAAGAATATATGGGAATTTTTTAAAAATTCTTCTCAAGTACAACAAAGCCATTTGTTATATTGACATGGAAGCATCATCAGTTAGTTTAAAATTCAAGCCCCCCCCCCCCCACCCCCTCCCCCAGTAATCTTTTCAAAACTGAACTGATTTATGCTTTTGCCTAGCCAATGTGCTCAGGTGAGCGATGTGGCCCCTGGGCCTCTTGTTAAATCTTTTGACTGAAGCTAAATTGAAACTGACCAAATTGCTTTGTTTTACAAGGATGTTGTAAAAGAATATCCAAAGGAACCAACATCACCTGAGATTTTGGATAGAGGTGGACCCCCACAAAATCATGGTAATTATGTGAATCAAGTTTAAAACTTTTTTAATAGCATTAGAGTTACAATATTACTATTGTTGCCTTAATTATCAGAATCATTGGTTATAGACCAGAAGCAGAGTCTATGCATTGGTAAAGTATTTGTTTTCCATCCATCTGTCTGTCAAGCTGTTTGTCCTTTTTTCAGTCTCTTGGATCATTGGTTCAAACAGAAGGGTAGAGATTATTAATAACACAAAAAAACTACATTAGGTGCAACTTTAACAATCCCCTTCTTTATTCATGCAATTAGTGGTCTGTGAACCTTTTACCAAATTTCCATGAGACATTATTGTTCAAGTCCTCATGCAGGATAGGGCTAAGTTGGTCATATTTTGAAAATACAGGTTCACTTGTCTTCATCTTTTGTCATAGAAATAGCTGAAAACTGTAAGTATTTTACCAAAATTGTAGAATTAATATTCAAGGGCTTACACAGGTAGGAGCAAAGTTGATCATTTATTTAAAGTACAGTCAAACCTTGGTATCTCTAACTCATAGGGACTGAGAAAATACTTCGAGATAACAGAGGATTCGAGATATTCAGGGTAAAATACTTAAGGAATAAGCAGTTTAGACTTCAAAATCACTTCAACATATCCATGGTATTTGAGATATCCGTGTTCTAGATACCGAAGTTCAACTGTACAAAGCTTCTTTGAAAATCATCTGTACTCATGGACTTCCTGCAGACAAACTTCATGATCGTATATTAAAATTATATTGCACTTTACTCATAAAAATCTTTATGGGCAAACTTTTACAGCGTAATCTTCTCAGTGTTCTTATGCAGGGACAAGGTTTCATGCCCTTGGGTTGAGCTTCCAAAGTAGTTAAAAACTGCTTTACTTGAAAACTTTTTCTTAAATGAAAGGAAATCTATCAGGCAAACTACTTGCATGATTACACTTTATAAGCTGCCTTAAAATATCCCTCTGTTATTTTTCTGAATTTAGATTCTCAGGTTCTTTATTCATTCCCCAGGGTGAGGGCTTAATTACCTTGAAAATTCTTATATTTTTGATTTTTTTTCCCTTACTAATGTGGGCATCTAAAAGGCAAAGATTTTGCATCATTATAAAGAGCATTGGCTGGCAGCAATCTCTCTAATGAAATTGTGAAATAGTGGTTTCTAGTCCATATTCATGGTTGAAGTTCATGATAGTCATATTTGAACATTTATCATACTTCTGAAAATCTTTCATATCAATTACTGGATATTCATTATTAAAGAAACTGTATGTATGATGAAAAAAAAAGTTACATTTTCCCCTTACCAAATTGTGAACGTTTTGTTCATGGGAATCAGAGCCCAGGATGTGGTCAAATTGATAATATATCAAAAAATGCATCGACATATCTAGAATCTTCTTTACTAAAGAGTGTCATTGAAACAAAAGTGATAATAAAAAACAAGATGTGTTTGTGAAACACTGATGCCCCTGTATGGCAGCTTATGATGAAAATTAGTTTCTCAAATACAAGTCAAACTCCAAGGTCAAGAGATCAAAACTGTTATTACTCAAAGAAAGGACTTGTCTCAATGAATATACCTATGAAATATGAAAGCCCAAGCACCAAGGTTAAAGTTTTGTAAAAGTGGGTCAAAGGCTACCTGGGGGAAGATCTTGTAACAAGAAGAATACATATTTTGTGAAATATAAGCTCTAGCACAAACTGTTCAAAAGTTATGGCCAAGATTAAAGTTGTCAAAAGTAGGTCAAAGTCCAAGGTCATGGTCAAAAAGTCAGAATTGTTGGTATGCAAAGGAAGGTCTCTTCACAAGGAATACACTTGTCAAGCATGAAAGCTGAATACTAATTGTTTAAAAGTTATGGTCAAGGTTGAAGTTAAAAGTGGGTCAAACTCTAAGGTCAAGGTCAATAGGTCAAAAATATTTATACCCAATCAAAGGTCTTGTCACAATGAATAACATGTGAAGTATGAAAGCCCTAGGTTTAAATGTTCAAAAGTTATTGCCAAGGTTAAAATTTGGGTTTTTTTTTGGCAAAAGTGGGTAAAACTTCAAGGCCAAGAGGTCAAATATGTTGGTACCTAAAGAAAGGTCTTGTCACAAGAAATAAACTTGTGAGATATGAAAACCATAGCTCAAAAGTTGTGAGCAAGGTTAAAACTTTTTGCAGACAAACAGACAGACAGATGGACGAACAGGGCAAAAACCGTATACCCCTGAATCTTCAATTATGGGGGCGTAAAAAAATTATGTGGGTCCAGAGGTGAGGTTGAGTTGGTCCAAAATAAGCTTGGAAATCTACTTTACTCAGGTGACTGTCAAGGCTTATGAGCCTTATGTTATGAAAAAGCATATATAAGATTCAGTTGTTCTTCCTCCTTTTACCTTAATTAGTATTTGTATTTATTTCAGAAGTGGGAAAGAGCATAAAGAAAGAAGTCTATGAGAAGCCAAGGTATGACATGAAAAATTTGAAGTTACGCATTTACATTCAGATTTTTTCATGTTAAATAAACTAGAACTCAGCTGCTGACTTGCACAGCCATTACACTTACAGTGTACATGTATATGAAAATATTCTAATCTAATATTTGAATTTTTTATCTTATTTTCTTTTAATAGTACACCTTCTGCAGCAAAACCTGATCTACCAGAGAAATGCTGTGTAATTGTAACATTCAAGTCACCATCAGTTAAGGCACCACTGGAGGAGATACCCATTTTGAAAAGAATTAAACCACGGACTATTTTGTTTCCATTTACAGAAAAAAATGTTGCAATGGTTGTATTTGAAACTCCAGCAGGTATGTAAAACCCTGCTTATATGGGGAGCTTTACTCATAAGCAAATGATTTGCATAAATTATGTGTAAATATATTCATGTAAGAAGGTCTCACTGTATGAATGTTTTTAAATATATTCAAAAAACACTCTATAATAAGCATATTTTCAGTTAGTCAGATGCAGTTGCAAATCTGTTTATTGTGGGGATCAATGCAAGCAAAATTTTACTTGTTCTGTGGATTATTGACATTTCTATCATATGGTAGATTCAATAGGTCAATATGTATATTTACAAAATAAACATGCCTGGGATTGTAAATTTGTGGCTAAGGGTGACCTACAAAGTCCATGAAAACGTACCTATGCTCCTTATGTATATCATAGGTGCCAAATCAAAAGTGTCTCGCGCTGAACATACATCTAGCATGCACCCTTAGCAAAATCAAATTGATTGAATTTTGATTTATTTTGTAGTTGTTTTCTGAGCATTGGATTTTCATTGTTTTTTGATTTGCAAAGAAATCAACTGTGCCTCCTTGCTAAATTGTATGGGAAAAAAGCATTGAAATAGCATTGAACATTGGATTTTGATTTATTTTGCATTGACTTTTGATTGAAAATGGCTGGATTTTTGCGAAATATGTAAATGAGATGAAGGATTAATCTGACATCACGGAAAAATTGTCAGCTTTTAGCTATAACTGAGAAACATTTCGTTTTTTCACCAGAAAGATCATACAGTAAGCAAAGTTTCCACAGACACACAGAACTCCTTTTAGGATTAGGCCTATATCGCTCGTAGCAAGAGTTACTGAGAAAAATATCCTTCCTTTGGACAGATAAAATTAATCTTTAGATTCTCATCCCCACCTGCCCCTCTCAAAATATCCAGCCCCGTTGTTTTTTAATATATTCGATCAGTGCATATTATCTATTCAAGATATATTACTAAAGTCAGGTACTCTTCACACAATTGCTCCGACGAAAATAGTTCCATTCATGATCAGTAGATACAAGATTACAACAAATGTTAAGAATAATGATGTATATTTAATACGTTAAAGAAAACAAAATTAACGTAAAAAGATTTTAAGAAAATCATCTTTTCCCCGGAAAAGCAAATAAAAAGTTTTCATATTCCTACGCTCGCTGCCTCCTCAGTCTTTTTCCCGAAAATATATAGGTCATACTTCGATTGATAATGATAAATCTTTTCACCAGTTATATTACTGTCATTATTATTGTTCGTTCATTGCCTTATAATTTCTTTTGAATGGATATGTTAATCATTAACTGTGTGTTTTTTTTTCTCTCTTTTAATGAAAAACGGAATGGTTATTATGGTTAAACACCTGCAATCGTAACCTCTCGGCAAAGCAACGTAATGTTCCGAGCTCGTCTGAAAGGATCTTCGCACGTGTGTAGACTTAGGCTATTTGGTCTTGCAAGCACAGGTGTGTGCACCGTTTGCTAGAGACGCTTAGATCACGTAGACTGGGTATCAGTATTTGCTACGGAAATGAAGAAGTTTAGAACTATACACCAGTTTCATAAGAAGTGCAGGTTTTTTACTCAAGCCCTAAATTGGGCTAGAGGGGCTGAGTTATCTAAAACGAGACTAGGTCATCGATCTACTCAGTTTAAAAACACGAAAATATACTAAGTTTATCTTCAAAACATCTGTATATTCAAAATCTATATTAAGTGTTAAATGTCGGATTCAATCCTATGACGAAGGAATATTCAGTGATGCTCCATAGCCGCAACCGATCTCGCGCTTTCCTTTGCGTTTAACAACGGCCGTCAATGCATCTCTCTGGACAAGTTCATTGATTACAAGTTCATTCGTTCTAAAAGGTGACATGTTGACTATCTTTAACATCTGCCTATGGGTGATAGTAATTTAATAGCACAAAATTAAAAAAATAAATTAAAATCTATCCTTGATAGATCTATAGTTTTGCTATTTAAAAAAAATGGGCTATCTTTCATAATCCATAACGGCTAGAACATGATTTGAATTTTTTTTTTACAGAAGATTATATCATTGGAAAGTTAGATGGTACACATGTAGCACAGGCCCATATAGTACGCGGGATTTTTTTCGGAGCCCCCCCCCCCTTCACTTTGAAAACGTTGCTACAGGCCTGTAACATGCTATTTGGTTTGAATATTCCTGAAAATGAACGAGGTGTTAAATACATTTTTAAAATTATACGATTAATTATATTTAGTCTATGTTCTATGTGAAATTAAAACTATTTTTAGCGACTTTGTGATAGTCACTACATGCATCTACATCTAACGTTATATATGAACATGCAGTTTGTTTCCTAGTACATGCATATTTTATTCAACAAAAGATGTTGAAACTCAGTAGCCTAAATATTTTGTCGTTTTAGGATATTTATGGCACTTTTATTATGACTTTCTACAGCTTGAGTATCTCTGACGTTTTGTCAGTAAATACTTGTTTTTTTTATTAGAAATCATCTGAGCACAATGAAAATTCGAATAAATTAAAAGTCGAATATCTTGGATATGGGGTATCCCATATCTATTCTTGTTCATTTTGTTTGTTTATTGTTGTTTTTTTTTTAAATCAAAAATATATATTAGGTTTTGCTATCTAAATTGTTGACATCGATCGAGGTAAAAGTTTTAGAGTTACACCCCGTTGGCATTAAAGGTCGCGAGGCGCTATTTATAGCACATAAAGCATGTGAAAAGCAAAAAAGCAATATTATTTTCATACAAATAATAAAGGTTGTCGGCGGACTTTAGATCATATTATTGCTACAGAAAATGGTAAATATACAAGAACTGTTTAATAAACAGTGATAAAGAATAAATTAGACACCATGCGTGTTTTTGCGCAATTTTGACAATGTCGACATGTATACTCGTCAAGAACGAAAATTTGGATGTTATATGAACAATGGAAATCTGTGATATTTTCAGACAAAGTACGAGTATTTAATATTCAAATCTTTCTGGAAATCGGCCTAGGTTATTCCGAATATGTTTAACCAAAATTTCCTTCTGATAAAAATTCAAACACTGAGCTGACTTCAATTCACGCAATTAGTTAACATTCAATCCGTCGTACGCAGTACTTTCGTAGTGTAATGCTTATTTATGATTGCTAATGTGTAATTGTACGCCCTGTTTTAATTTTTAATGCGTATTTTGAAAAATTCAATGCATATTTCTGCAAATACGCACCTTATCTGGAGCTCTGGAAATAATATCCTTCCATATCTACAGCAATTTCGAAAGTTATTGGAATATTTTCTTTTAAACCCAAATACAGGTAAACTTAGGTATCTCGACATCGGATGTGTCAACAACCTGGGATATGTCGACGTCCTTCCGCGATCCCAGCAGTATTTACTGTATAAATGATTTGCAAAAACTCTGATATGACGACTTCGGTAATGTCGACAACCCAGGATACCTCGACATATATTCCCAGTCCCAAGAGCAAAATTTACCTAGTATATGTTGACATCGGCTATTTTCTCCTGTACTGAATCTAACTGTTTGTCAGATAGGGTCGCTCCTCATGCACGGACGACTCCGGGTATCTCAACGTCGTCAAAATTTCACACCTTTCACACCCATGTTTTGACTGCACGCTGCTTAATTAATTCTATAGACTGTGTTTGTATGCGAATCCCAAGCCCTCTTGGCATCTCTGAGAAGTTAATTGCTTAATGTTCAGCTTGGGTAATATCATCAAAAAATCGACAGGATTTTGCCTAAATGTACAGACGGTTATTTATATTGAAACCTAACATAACTTTTAAATTTGAAAAAGTTAACTAAATTAATATGAATAACAAACACACTGAATAATTCAAAGTAAGGAATTAAAGATGTTTTAATGATATTTTGTAGTTAAAATGTATGCAACAGGAAACAATCCAATTAACGCCACGATTGACAAAATCAGTCATAATAAGTTCATGCATCTGTAACATCACTATGTTAGTTTAGATACACAAATCTCTTTTAAAAAATGATTTTAATGTACATTATTCCGGAATGAAATAAGAAAATAAATAATCCGCATTTAATTTTTTCCATGTATCGGATGTATATTTATGCGGTTCGAAGTTTATAGAGCACATTTCATATCCTGTTCTGACAAAAAGGCAAGTTACATGCGAATGCTGTAATTTTGTGAATTTAGAAAGATTTCAATAAAGAACACGTTTTATAAACAAGATTTTTAAAATAACTTCTTAGATTTTTAATAAAAATAGAAAGAATTCTGAAATATGTTGAGCTTCAGTCTATATCGAAGTCTTGTACATATATAATAAGCTTGTCTGTTTTGCTATGCAGTGAAATCTTGGACGTCAAGTCTCAACTCTGATATCTCGACACCTCAGATATCTCGACATTTTCCGATGGTCCCGTCAATGTCGAGATAACGAAGTTTACCTGTATTGATAAAAACTAATATGCATGATCAGGTAGCAAATACAAGTGGTTATGTTAGTTACGCATCGGTAATCAAACCCCACGACCCATGTGTTTTGATTTATCAAACATGTAGTGTTGGCTATTAAAGCAGCTTTTTAACAAAAAATACAGGTTATTATCTGCTGACTTGAATTTAAAGCTGACATGAACTCTTAAATATGTGATATTTTCATCCTTGTACGACTTATTTCATTCCCGTACTCCCTTTTCCGCCATATTTCTTTCAGATTCGCTTACTTATTTTACCGGCTATATAAACCCTGATGCCTTTTTTACACTTGAGTGATTTTCTAGCCTGGCTGTCGGCATGTACACATCTCCGATAGCAAAGTTTTGGAACACGTCATGAACTGACCGAAAACATGTAGGCCTGTACACATCTCCGATAAAGCAGTTTTGAAACATGCAATAAATCTAAAAATCCTACCAAAACTAGGAATTTTACTGAAAACTGGAAAGGAGTTTATAAATTTTGAATAATTTTGATGCAATGCATAAAAATCAAAACGGCAAATGCATGTTTGATATA